ATGTCATGAAAAAATATTTAGAAATAGGAGGAACATTCTTTACTAACATATGTAAGTGAACTTGTCACATAATATCATTTTAAAATGAGACATAAATGGTGTCTTCTAAAAAGATCTTCTTGTACTATTGAAGCTCTACAAACAATGCTAGACAATCAGGTAATCGAGAAGGATATGTATGCGGTAAAATCAATCCGCAAGAGTGATAACTATTGAACATTTGTAAAGATCATACTTTTTCCACCATAAATACCATTTTGTGTGATAAAGTCATGGATAAGAACATTTGGCATAGTGTAAACAACATAATGTTTCCACGATTACTGATTTGTACGTTAGGCCTTTTACAGATGAACGTATAAAAGCAAAAACCAACAGTGTCACACGTCCACGACATTGAAGATAAACAAAAGTACTTATCAATAATAGATACTCTCGCAAATCGTACATCTCTCAATTCCTGGATATTTAGTATTTCTTCTTGCAGTAGACAGGAAAGCAACACTTCTGGACTTCAAACAGTACCTTTCGAATAGAAAAAAAAAAAGACATATTACACGAATATTGAAGCGATAGCAAAATCTTAACTCAACAAAGATTAATATTTAATACAAAATAAGTCAAACATATGGAAATCTCAGTTGACGACAAAGTACTGTAAAAGTAGCTTTTATCTTTCCAATACAAACGGTAAAAATTTGTAGGCAATAGTTTGCACTACAGTTATATCAGTTGAAATACTGATCTATGTTCAATGATATGTTTGAAATTTGCATACAAGGGTACAAAAGTTGCAAAGACAAACATCATACCCATAGTTGCTGTCTTATGTTTTTTCTTTTACATTTTCTACGACGTTAAATGTGGTTGACTTTTTTTTGTTGACATTCAAGAACAAACTTTACCTAGTTTCAATTCAAGAATAAGATTGTGAACAACAAAACGAAAGAGAAAAAAAACCAACAACGTAATTTATTCTATTATTATTCTTTCCAACTTTCGTTAACTTTTCATTTGTACTATCTGACAAGAACGAAAGAAAAAAACAATAAAGACATCGTTAGATCGATTGTTTTCCTGTTGCTTGCGAGGGGCATATTCATAATATGAATGAAGCAACTCAAGTAAAAAAAAACCCGTTTATATCGTGCTTCACCATGAGACATACACATCTCGCACCATAGTTGCTGAATGTATTTTGCTATTCATTAAGATTTTTTTTTCATCTTGCTCTTGAGTGTTAGTAAGGTTTGCCTTATAAATATATCTTTATTCGTGCCATAGATGAAATAGTTCCTTGTTGAATTATAAGAAATGCATCGATAGTTAAGTTTGAAAGAGTTTTAATTCACAAAATGACTATCCAGGATAGAAGAGCAACCAGACTATAAATTTTCTCAAAAAAAAAACCGATAAGAGCCAAGATTTCTTGACAAAATAATACTTTGATAAATAGTATTCTGGAAGGTACCTATAAGCAATGAGAGTTTTGGGTAACAGGGAAAGTGACATGTTCACGATTCCTGAATTTCCAGACTTAAAGAAACTCTATTACCGAGAAGAGTGCCAATTGCGTCTTTACGACAGTTAACAAAGATATTGATAATAAATATGATTGAAAAATATTATAGAATCGATTTCGTACAAGATACGATCCTATTCTCTGTATCTGCATCGATTAGTACAACTATGTACTGCAATTTGAAAATGACACGAAGTTCTGATTTAAAAACGATGTTGTAAAATTTCTGTGAACCTTTTCCGAATTGTTCAAAAAATGAATAGATATTTTGTCTCAACAATTCTCAGCCTAATCGTTAATATATTCAAAAGAAAAATATGTAAAATAGGTTTTAATGAAACATAGAGGCGATTTGTTCATGCATTTACCGTTAAACATTCCGCCTTTTTCTAAGTTTTTGTCTTGTTTTATCTATTTTTTTGTGAGTACATAAATTATGATGATATAATAATACCAAGTCCGACATTGAATATTTTTAATGTTAAGAAAAAATTCATTATATTTCAATTAGAGTTTTTGTGTATCTGTAATGATATGTCTATCTAAATAATTAGTGATTAAAACCGAATTGAAAGATTACATATTGAATTCATATAAAGAAGTTTCTTCCAATTAATTATGAAAAAAAAAAATTAGTTCCCACACGCATTCAGTTCTGGTCATGAGTGAAGACACTTCTGTGATACAGTAATACCCACAACTATGTATAATATACAATCTTCTAATATAGTTTCGTCATATTGAGCATTCATTCAATTTTATGTATATCAATAGACTCGTCGGAGAATTCTTCCTGTATACATAAGTGCATAAATAAAATTATATTTATAGTGTATGATACATTGACAACGAGGATTATTATCTGCGTCAAATATGATTAAAAATCTCATCTACCAACAAATTCTTTTTTTAAACTAAAATCAGTAGAAATATTCGAGATATGAATCTTTCTTTCTTAGTTCAAAAATAATAAAAACAAAATACTATCATCGTCTTGTGTACTTGATGTCTTTGCAAAAACATTTATCATAACGTCGATTACATGATATTGTTGGATTTCTTTGGAAAGTACAATTACGACAAATAAGAAAGATCAACAGACAAAAAAAAAATACATTAACAACGAACGAGTTGCCATCACTTTTTCTTCTTGCGTTCGTGTCTGTACAGAGCAGTGAAAATGTGCAGATAGAATGTGTAAGCAAACAACTGCTAAAGAAAAGTTAAATTGCATGTTTCTTTCTTTCAATGTGATTACATCTTATATAAAGGACTTTATGTTTATTAGAGGTGTGAATGTGTTTGTGGCTCAAGAGAATAGATCCACACCCCATTTTGACGAAAAATGACTTTTTTTTGAGAGAGCACATTTAATATACTTCGTTTTCTTTCTAAGAATCGTAACAGTGCATGTGGTAAAGCAAAGTTTTGTGATCGTAAATGTCTTAATTTATCAATAATTGAAACGACATACGAAAATACGTATAAATTATTTTATTTCTGAAGTTATAGATTTTTCTTGTAGAATCAACTTTGATAAATCATAATAATGTCAATCTTTTCCTGAACTATATTTTTCATCACAATCATTTGATATTCAATAATGATATTCGAAATTAGATCTTGTATTTCAAAAAATATATTTTATTTAATTAAATCGGCATCTTGTTTATTTTGTTATGCTTTCTATTTAAAATATTTATTTTCATAAAGTTACATATTAATTAAGATAAAAAACTCGAAATAATATCCACTTATTGAAATATTTATTTTGATTGTACTTAGAATTATGTTAAATATGAACATTGAATTAGAATCAAATGTTGTTCTACTTCAAAAAACTATAGATAATATTAAGAATAAAGTAAATATATGTATTATAAACTTTATCATGTAAGAAATTAAAATAATATTTCATATGGATAAAATATTTTAAATAATTATAGAATTTATTTATTGAAGCATAGATGGATCTCTTGATTAAATTCATCTATGATACGATTTATTTTATGTCGTTCTGCATTTCTCTCTCTCTGTCTCTCTTATGTAAAAGAGAAAAATAATTTAATTGTTAATAATGCACTGATAAGAATATTGTTCATTGATGTTTTCTGTTTCATGCAAATATATAAAGATAATGGAAAAAGTAATCGATAGGCAAAAAAACAAAAATAAGGAACCAAGTAAACAAATAAGAACATCCCATTTTCTATTTCTTCTTTTTTTTCCTTTTCTTGAAGTCTACGAGTTATTAATAAAGATTCCAAATAGAGGACAACAAAAAAAAGCTTTTTTGTAAAAATGTTTTCATCATCTATAAGTGACAAAACATACATGAGATTGGTACTATCTAAAAGCGTGAGATTAGTCAATACGAGGAGAAAAAAAAAATAGTCTACTATAAAAGTATTTTTCTATAGTAGTCTATCAATTATTTAACATCAAGAAAATAAGTATGGACCCATCCAATGACATTCTAGGTATATGACTTAATTAATTGAGAATTCTAAGAAAATATTAAAAGTATTTGATCTAGGTTACAATAGGTTTTTTTCTTACTATTAATAGTACATCTTTTCACTACAAGATTTAACTTAATTATTATAGCCTTTTGATTTTAAATGTAGGTTGAGGAATGATATAAAATTATTTCGTATCTTTCTCAGTGATTATCCATTTTCTATTAGAAAACTTTGAAGTTTTTCAAGTTGATTCAGAGGAAAAAAACTATTTGATGTGTTCATATTAATTAGGTTTCGTCAAAGCTGCACCATTATTAATTGTTGGTGTAAGTTGTATTACAATTGTTTCTATTGTAATTATTGCAATGTGTATTAAATATATTATACTTCATAAAACTCATGATCGTAAGTTCATTCATATATTTTTATTTAAAATTTTTATATTTCTATTCAGATCTATCAAGTGATGATCATCAAAATACATAATAAACTTTAATTTAATCTTTATTTTGTATTTATTTGAACTGAAATTAAGTTGTCATATCGATTGAGTTTATCTTTTTTCTTTTCTTTTATCAATTTACATTTAGTCTTCAATAAATAATTGATTTTAAAATTACAATTTTTTATCTAAATATTTTGTACAAGAACCTGTTATAAAATGTTTAACATGTATTTTTACTAATATTTATTTTCTTCTAAAACGATTGTGTAAGTATCAAACTACAATCGGAATAGTATACATGATATGGAATGGTCTATTGACATCCTTTTGTTTTGATTTGAATTTCAATCCATATGAAAAAGTATTACATTCCATTAAAAATGTACTGTAATGAATAGAACAAACAAAAAAAAAAATATAAACTTAAACTAAACTTAATTGATTTAATAAGATTGTCCTTTTTTATTTATCTAGAATGATAATGAGAAATACTATTTTTGAAGAACACATGAATTATTTTTATTGGTTTTTTTTGTTTTCGTTTTCCTATCATATTCTTATGGGATATAGTCTAAAAAACATTTTTAAGTTCAATGTCAAATATAAGTGTTGAATTTGGTGGAATATCTGGTATTTTTTGACTACCATAAGCTAATGATGGTGGAATTATTAAACGTCGTTTACCACCAACATGCATACCTAAAATGAATAAATTAATAAAAAAAAAAAGATAATAATTATTTAAAATATTTTTTTGACCTTTAACACCTTGATCCCAACCACGAATAACTTCACCAGCACCAAGACGAAATCGAAGTCTAAAAAAAAAAAACTAAATTTTTGTTATTTTTTAATAATGAATAACATACGGTTTTCCTTTAACACATGAATCAAATACTGCATTATTACTTTTAAGTCGACCGGTATAATAAACAGCAGCCTAAAATAAATTTTTAAAAAAATGAAAATAATGAATTTTTATTTAATAATTTACAGTTTTTCCAAGTTTAGCTTCTGGCCCATTACCAATTCTTATATCATTAATTTCTAATGAATTTGATTTTTTTTTTTCATCAATATTTGTACTACTCATTTGTATATCATTCGATGATGTACTTGCTTTTGCTTCTAATGCTGCTGCTTTTTTTGCCTAAATATTTTTAAAGTCTTTCGTTTTTTTTTTTGTACATTTTGTTTATTCTTTGATTACGAACTGTTTTTTTAGTTTTTTTTAATTCATCAGTATTTATTGTGGTTGTTGGTTCTTCTTTGATTTTATTTTTATTTTTTTTTATTTTTTTACTTTCTGGTTCCTAAAATACAATGTATCTATATATATTAATGAAAGAATTTGATTAATTTCTATTCTTACTTGTTTATTTGAATGACCATTTTCTTCTGAACGTGAACGTTTTTTTCCTTAATACAAAGGGACAAGTTTATAAAAAAAAAAGCAAATAAATATTTACCTTTATCTGATGATGCTGAAACTTTTTTTTCTTCTTCATTATCTGAATCTGATGATGTTTCTGAACTTAATTCATCTTCACCTTCAAGATATCCATCTTCATAATCACCTTCTAAATCTTGATCCTAGAAAAATTTTATTGTATTAAATAAATATTCTTCTTTTTTTTTTTTTTTAATTTACTTCATCATCACGTAATCGATGACGACGTGCTAAATGAAAATCTTCTGCATCATCACTTTCATCGTCATCATCACTTTCATCATCATCATCATCATCACTACTTGAATCATCATTCGCTGCTGCAAAAATATCTTTATTTTTACTGATAGGTAAATGATCTTCTTCACACACTAAAAAAAAAAAATAACTAATTGATTATATATTTTGTAGAAATTTATTCTTTACTTTCGTGTGGTTCTGGTTGTAAAACATAACCGGTTAGATGTACTTTATCTAGAGAAAACAAATGTATTTTGATTATTCATGAAAATCGCCCTTTAAGACAAGTTTTATCTCATTAGATTAGAAATATGAAGAGTAATGATTAAAAATTTTCTCTCATATGAAAACATTGTTTTCTTAACGAAAGGTTATGAGAGTTATCGATCTATACTGATCCGAAATATGACTGTAAATAATCATCTTATGCCTTTATAAACTAGTTTTGCATGACGTTTTGGTAAAACTTTTTTCGGATCTATTTAAATACAGAGTCTATCGAATAGAAACGTTTCTTTATCTGTTAAGTTGCAGAGTAACGAGAAGCTAAGATTAATTTATTATAGAAATATCATATTTTTTGTATATTTCTAGTCTAAGAGAATTTCACAATGAATTGATCCGATTGTAAACTTTATACTAATTTTGAATCATTTTAGAAAACTCATAGATATGAATCCTTTTAGATTTTTTATTAATTTCAACAGAATTTATCTAATAAGATAAGATTTCTTTTAAAAATATTTTATTATTCTATGAAATTTTTTAGTTCAACTAAAATATTTACGTGGTCCTTTAGCACCGAATATTAATGTTTGTCCATCATAAAATTCCATATCTAATGGTTGTTGAAGACATGATGGATAATGTAAATTACACAGAATGAAATCAGTTGGTGGTCCTTTATCAGCTGTACTTGATTTAATTGTTACACGAGTAATTCCATTTGTTGATGATTCATTTTCTTCTCCTGAAGAAAATAATTTATTAAAAAAAAGAAATTCTTTGAATTTGTTTAATTTTTTTTACCATCATCAATTTCAAGTGCAGCCATTGTTAAACGAAATGGATGATTAGTTACAACTTCTGATACTTTATTTGGACCAACAGTAAGACCTAAAAAAATGATCATAAGTACATAAATCAAGAAAGATAAATTTGCTATTATGGTTATCAAAGAAGTTTTCACAATTAATCTCCTTTGATAAACAAAATAAAGAATAAAAAGACAAGCAATGATCGATAATTCGTTTTTTTTCTCGGTCATTTTATTCTGATGTTAACCCTTTGGAGACCAGTGTACTTTATAAAGTACACATTTTTCAAGTTTATTATTTTTTGAATAACTTGAGAATGCAACAAGATGTGAACATGCGATTTTCTCTATTATATATAAGAGACTTCAGTACATAGATCACTATAAGAATTCTAATGAAGTCACTGAAGTAGTAGGTCTTGTGGGATTTTGGGCCACCACCACTATTCTACAGAGGAGAAGAGTAGCTAAGAGCCCTTTGCGGTCATCAAAATATTTCGATTTTATGTGTTGGAATCAAGTTTGCAATGACTCCTAGTGATACTCCAAAGCTTAGTTTTGTGATATTCTCAATCAAATTTCAACCCATACTCATACACCCCTACAAGGATGTCCAAAATACTTTCTCGTCATCCCTGTGGGGGTGTACGGGGGAGAGATATTCATCGCGGCGCGGCGCGGTAGCGGTAGGTTTTTTTGGAGAACAATGCAAAAATGCATGAATTCGAACAAAATTTCAATGTTTGCAAGTGCAAAACTATGAGACTCAACGAATCTTATCGATTGGTAACAACAGCTTTAGTTCTGAACAGTCACAGATCGTAAAATTCACAACATTATTCTAACAATCATCGCGGCAGCGGCGAGGTCGCAGTAGGTTTTCTGTTTTTATCACCGCGGTGCGGTAGCGGTGCGTTAGCTTTTTTCTTTTATCGTCGCTGCGCGGCAGCGGTCAGTTTTCAACCGCGATGGACATCTCTGGTACGGGGATGGGTCAAAAAATGATTTTCAAGATTTTGATGAAAATATTCACAATAAACACAACATCTGGAGGAAATTTCATCCATTGGCTAAGCCATGACTTTCAAAGGGTTAAAATAATGTACACCGAAAAAGACCAAATTTCTTTTTCAAATATTTAATTATTTCGAAGAATTTTTTTGTTTTTTACATTATCGGACTCATAATATAATATATTTTAATTGCATCAAAATAAAGTTGAAGAGTCAATTTTCAGTTTAGTTTTTATTATTTGATAATAACATATAAAACAAAATTTTTGCGCTTTCATATCTTACCCCAAATTCCTTCTGAAACTTCTTTGAGTAGAACCATTATATGAAATAAAATCTGCAATAAACAAGAAAATAATTTTATTTCTTATCCACAAAGTATTCATTTTCTTTTTTTTTTCACATCCAATTTTCATACATCTAACAAAATACAAAAAAAAAAAAAGAGAAAAGAAAGAAAAATAAAGTAACAAGAAAATAGTTCAACTAAGTTTTCTTCTAGAAGAATAACAATATATATATATATGTATCTTATGTATAGAAAGAAACAAAAAACATCCATAAGCAATTATTCACCAAATTCAATTAATTTTTTTTCTATATAATCATTTAATATAATCATTGTTATTTTAGTTCGATTAATTTTAATATATTGTTTATTTCGTAATTTCAATGAAGTTAAATAATCAGGTGCACATTCTTTCATAGATTTAACAATTAAATCTAACATTTCAATTGCTTGATCTATAGACAACAAAAAAAGCAAAACCGAATATAATAACTTTTGTATATTTTTTTAAACAAAGTTCAATTAACCTTGATTATATTTAGCTGAATGTAATTCACTAAGTTTTTTATGTATTCTATCATATTCTAAAGCAATTTCACGTTCAGTTGTAAATAATTGTTCAATAATATCTATTGATTCACGCATATGTTGAAATAATTCATAAGTTTTTGAACGTTGTTTTTCATTTTTAATAATTCCTGTATTTTCAAGTGAAACTAATTGATTACGTGATTCTTCTTTTAAACGTATTTGTTCAAGTAAACGATTATTTATACCAATAATATTTTTTGATGGTGTTATTGGTAATGTTTCAAGAAATGATTGATCAACTTTAGATAAAACTTTTTTTAACTAAATAAATCAAAAAATAAATTTTTTTATAAAAGAAAACTTCTTTTTTTTTCTCTATTAATTTACTCGTTCATTTTCTGTTGTTTGAACACATCGACGAAGATCAGCAGGTGAAGCAATTTTTTTTATAGGAGTTAATAATTGTTCATTTATAGATGGTTTTTCAACAAGAAGATGAGCAAAACGTTCATGAGCTGGAACAAACTTCTTTCTAAACAATCACAAGAAAAAATTTTCAATATCACTCTTCTATGTTTAAGACTATCGGCTAATGATATGTGAATCCGAATTCAAAAGTAATCTACTTAGTATTAATTTATCGTCATACGAACTATCAGATCTTTTTGAGTAGATTCTATTTCGATATATATAAATAGAACAATAAAATTTTGCTTTCTATATAAAATAATTTTTAATAAGAATGTTTGAACATACATAATGAACTCAAAAGTATCTGCATGGAACGTAGTATTTCGTCTGATCAAAAAAAAAACGAGACTCCGTGGAAAGATTCATAGAAATGATTTTCTTTTAGACTTTTTTCTAATGTCAATAACGCGCGCCTATCGATAAGATAAGAGTAATGTGAAAATTGATTTATCTATTTATAAGATTATCTCATTTATTTTCAAGAACAATAGAAAGAAAATGTCATTAAGACATATTTCTTCATAGCAAGACTATCTTTTTAATCAATATTTAGAAATTTTAACATAAAAATCAACTATTCTAAAATCTTTCTTCTGTTATAATGTTCACATGATGAAAATTATAAGAAGAATATCGCTAAGAAATTTTCATAAGTGACCATACAGCATATGCAATATGAGTATCTCATTCATTTTTAATTTTTTTTACATTGAATTGATTTCATAATTTCACTGATGTTTTTGTCTACAAATCTATCATCATAAGATGGAAAATCCTAACATGATCATTCAATGAATAAATAAATTTATAGAATTCACCGAATACTAGTGGACGGATATCTTACTGATTATTATTATCATCATTTTCTTTTGGTGTTATAATAATTTGTTGATGTTGTTTAACTTCTTCAATATGAGTTCGAACAACTTTAAGATGTTTATGTAGTTCATTCATATCTGCTACTTTAACTAAACGTTGTTTTTGACGTTCAAATGTTTTAATTTTTATTTCATTTTCGCTAATATTATTTTTAGTTTTTCTTGATAATGGTACTAAGAAAAAAAGAAGATTTATCATAGATATTTATTAATTTTATTGTTACAATACATTTATCAATTTGATCTAGGTCACATCCTTGTAAATAACCATCTGTTGGTTTTGAAGGACCTTTAAAAAAACAAAATATTATCATATTGATCATGATGAGAAAAAAAAATGATTTTTACTAATTCGACGTTTTTTATTTGAATTATTAGATAATGAACAAACATTTTCATTATTTTCATCGTCGAATATTAATTTACGTTTTTGTGATTTAATTGATTCACCATTAGCAAGAATAGTTGATGAATATTTTGATCGTTTTGGTGTAAAATATTGAGTTAAACAAGCTTGAGCCATATCTTCGTTGTTTTTTTTGAATAACAATGATCTAATGAACGTTCATTCAGAACAATATAAATAGGTACAAAGAAATTAATAATGATTGATTCATATCAATCACCAATAAAATTTTATCATTAGCAAAATAAAAAACATAGATGAATCATTGATTTATTGAAATAGAAAACAATATTTGAATTTAAGAAAAAAACAAAAAAACAAAATGAAGATTTATTTTTTTTTTTGCTAAAAAAAATCGAAGGACAAAACAGAAATGACAAATATTATGGCGTTTGTTATGACAACTTTCATAACCAATCATGTCATTTTTGGTAACATATGGTAGAAATCACGAAAATATTATCATAATTTATACTCACATATGCACTTCATATGAAAATTCTTTTTCAAATAATTATATTCATAATCTATACAGTTTATCACTAATTAAGAATAATAATCATATGAAAGTCATTGGATCATTTATTCTATGTATCAAAGAGACATTCGAGTCACGTGTAGAGCTGAGCGTGATCATTGTAGCTCACAGCAGACTAGTGTCCTATACAGTTATGACTTTTTTGCTACTAATTTTGATAGTCGAGTGAAGGTAATCGACATTCGGGAGATATTCTCTTAGTCATAGTACAGTTTTCAAAGTTTTATTTTATATGAAAAAAAGTATATTCTAGCAAAGTAATATCGTTCTTCACTTCTATAATATATTTTCAATAGGTCGAGATCTCATTATTGGGCATCCAATATGATTTCAAAACACTAGCATAGATCTATTATCGGCTAGTTAATAGAAATATTTTTATTGCACTTTTTTTTGTTTGTTGACAATATATTTTGCGTTACAACTGATTAGATTGATAAATTTATGTTGTACATGGAAATAGTAGTATTCTTGTAAACCCCTCCCCATATTAGAAGCCCCCGGGGGCTTCTAATATGTCTATCATATGAAGCTTCTGGAGGGGGCTTCTATTAAGTCTTAAAAAAATTTCGTAAACTGCCAGGAAAAAGGGTTCGCAAGGGTTTTTAGCGACTTTCAAGGTTTTTATGAGTTTTCCAGAAGATTTTTGACATTATTTTCAGATGTTAGCTAAGCTAGATAAGAGTCAGCCAACTTTTTACCTGAAAATCGAAAAATTTTAGCAGTTTTAGCATGAAAATGCGAAAAAAAATCTTGAAAATTTTAAAATTTTTTCGAAAAATTAGGGGGGCTTCTAATACGTCAAACACGTTGTTCATCTCAGAGGGGGCTTCTAATAAGGGGGGCTTCTAATATGGGAGGGGCTTCTATTATGGGGAGGGGTTTAGTGAAACATTAAATTTTATATGACTAAATGTTAGATCTTATATTGTTAATAACCCAGGTCGATCATTGTGATCGTCGGAAACGGCGTTTTATCTGGCCAGAAACGGTGAATTACTGCCTTAATTTTAGCCTTATCTCGCCGTAATCCGGCATACCGTTTTACGAACCGTTTTTATCGCTAGAAAAAGGCCGTCGTTTTTCAACGTTTTACATCGTTATTACGCCGTCTTATTGGACCTGGGAATTTGAAGTAGTATTTCTTTGAGTGAAACGAACAAGAACTATAAATTGTCTTCAATGACAAAGTTGACATATTTTCAACAAAATTTGCAATGTATCAAATGCCTTTTTTTATTTAAATGAACACTCTCGCTTGATCATTATTCTCTTGTTCAATGAAATATCATTTGAATGATATAAAAAAATTGATTGCATGTTTTTGTTCGAAATCCTATAAACATTTCAACGGCTATCATATCTATCTGTTGTATTCTAGAGCAAATTGTGTATATTTTCTAACAGTATCGGTATGAACTATGTATGAAAACACATTAAAACATGACTTTAATCATTTTGGATTGTATTATTGTATATATTGAATTGATTATGTAGTTAAATCAAAGGACATTGCAAGACTGTCCTGTTTAATGAAAATTAGAACACGAAATGTCTTTCTTTTCGTTGTCCATTTTCTTCATATTCAAAAGGTCTTCATATATATTTTCTTGTTATAAGCAAAATATATCGAAATAAAATTTATTCAATAATCTAAAAGTAATAGATTGTCTTTTCACTCTCCCTCGGACAAAAAAAGTTCCTTTTTCCGATTCATTATTTCATCATCTAATACGCTGTATTAAAAAAACAAAATGCACCACAAGATGCAGCATGAAAAGCTCTACAATCTACAAAGAACAGCTTATTTTATAATTGCACTTTTTGTTTTCAAAATGAACAAAATTCTGAGCCACTAGTTGTTGACATTTCGAAAAAAATAGTCTCTCACGAACAAAAAAGAAGTACCCTTTTCCAATTCATTATTTTATCATCTAATACGCTGTATTAAAAAAACAAAATACGCCACAAGATCCAGCGTGAAAAACTCTACAATCTGCAAAGGATAGCTTATTTTATAATTGCACTTTTTGTTTTTAAAATGAACAAAATTCTGAGCTACTAATTTTTGACAGTTAGGAAAAAATAATTGTTTGGTACTCGTTGAATTCGGTTTTTTTCATATTTCATCTTTTTATCACTTAATATGCTTTACTAAAAAGAAAACTAAATATACCACAATATGCAGCATAAAAAGCTCTACAATTTA